AGCCGAGCCGAGCCAGGCCGGGCCGGGCGGGGGGAAGCCTCGGATAACGGGCGGGCGCCTTGAGGAGAGCTGTCACCTGTCACCAAGGTGAAGGTTGTCCCTCACCCGAGGGCTGGTCCTGCTCACAGGCCTGCAGCGCCCTGACAGAAGATGGGGATTAAAAGCTTTTTCATCATTTTGCTGCAAGTTTGTTAAGTGATGCTCTGACTTGTGAAGGGGACATCCAGTCCCACATGACGTGCTCAGAGGTGACCTGGAGAAACGCAGACCCGATAACATGACGTTGAGGTGGAGAGGTCAGTGGGCCTGTACCCGCGAGCGAAGGGCAAGACTGAATGGGCGAGGGTCAGACCGGCAGGTGTCCCACAGTGATCCTGGGGTGCTCTGCTAGTGAACGATGGCTGAGCAAAGACTTCCTGATCAAGCTGGCAGATGACACCACACTAGGAAGGACTGGGAACACGGTGGAGGATAGGAGTAGCATTCAGACAGCTCTTGATACCTTGGGCTGGAGACAACAGAAGGAAGTTCAGTGCAGCCAGACATAAGATGCTGCAACTGGGGAAGAATGATTAAATAAACAATGGGAGAGAACTAGCTGGGTGGCAGCCTTCCCAGTCTTGTTAGGAAGAATCTAGGGCAATGATTTTCAGCCTTTTTAAGACTTGAGGTGCCCCTTGGAGAATGCCAGCTCTTAGTTTCCACTTGTTTTTTTACTACAGATAAACCAGAGCAATTGGTTTGTTGCAAAGAAGTCAGAAAGACCACAACAGGCCTGAATGGTTTTGACACTGTGGATTCATATTTGGAACCTGAGTTTACCTTGTGAATCCTGCATGCATATCTAACCATGTTGATATTGTGTGGCACTCTGACTATGAATCACTGATACAGGAGTTTTGATGGATCACAGACTCGAGTCATCAATGTGGCACAATTACAACATTTTGTACCATATCAACAGGAGTATTAAGTGTAAGACACGAGAGGTAGGAGTACCACTCTACCTGGTATTGGTTGTACCAGAACACTGTGTTCAGTCCACATTTTAAGAAAAATATGGAGAAGTTAGGGTTTCAGTGGCAGGTGACAAAAATGATAAAGGGGTTAGGAGGCAGGCCATATGGGGAAAGCTTAGAGAAAAGGAAATTAAGTGGGAACTTGATAGCAATCTTCAAATATTTGAAAGGCTGCCATAAAAAGGTGAAAATGACTGTTCACCTTTGCCCCAGAGGACAGGACACAAATCAATAGCTTTAAATTGCAGCAAAGTAGATTCAGATTAGATATCAGGAAAAATGTCCTCATTGTTAGAATAGTAAGGTAGTGCAATAGACTGCACAGGGATACTGAACAATGGGGATACAAGCACTGATCAGGAATAGCCTCGGAGTAGCATTTGTACAGGGGTCCAGATGGGATAACCCTTGAGGTCCCTTCCAACCCTATAATTCTATGACATACCCAAAGCGGATACCGTCAGAGTATCAGCTAACTAGTTAGTTGAAGAAATGGTTAGTGTGGACACAACTGCAGCAGTATAGCTGTGCTTTATAACTGTATAACTACTTTCCTATAGAAAGGAGAAAAACTCTACCAGTATATCAGGTCTACATGAGAAAAGTTTTGCTTGTATCACTATACTAGCAAATACTCTTAGTATAGGTGCAGTTATACCATCAAAAAGTGTTTTGCTGGTGGAGATTATGTCAATCTGAAAACCAAAAAAAGCAATACCAGCAAAAACAGTTACTACACTACAGCTATTTACTGGTTGCGAAATGTCGCCAAACTCAAATTCCTTGCCAACATTTTTAAGCTGGCAATGCTTTCAGTGTACCTATATAACTTAGACCACAGTAGAACTTTCACTAGTATAATTATTTCAAGGTGGGAGAGGAAATTGCATCCTCTCACCAAAATAGTTACAGCAGTATAGAACAGGCCCTTGCTAGGATCCAGGGAGGATGTGGTGGCGTGATTGCATCCACTTTCACCTGTTATACGTGAACTCTCAGTGTGGAGCGCACCCAGACCTCCTGCTTTCACGTGGCTTCAGGGCCCAAAAGGTAAGTGTTGCTGCCCACCTCTCAACCCTGCTGCTTAAATCCAAGGGGAGGGAGAGAGAAAGGAAAGGCTAACAGCAGTAGCAGTCCCCGAGGCTCCAGAGCCCTACAAAAATGGTGACTCTGGTCAGACCCTGTCCTCACTGGTTATATGGAGCTCCAGTAGGAGCTCATACTGACCAGGCAGTGAGCTCAGAACTCATTGCACAAGCCATGGCACTGCCAAATTAGGTGACTGCACTCTCCCTTGGCCCCTTCTTGGATATGCTTCTGCTAGAATTGGCTTGTCAACTTTCCTGTGGGAGGGGGAGTGTTCATATGCAGACTTACTTTGAAATAGCTGCATGGCTTTCACTTCACACCTTTGCAAGTCAGCATGTAGACTAGCCCTCAGACAGACAACCCTGGAAAGCATTGCTACAGAGCTTACCGCTGAGTAGATGAACCAGATGCTCTATTCTAGTTGCAGGATACACACACTTGCCCTGTACTTTTGGAAAAATCTACTCAATTCCCTGCCCTAGCCGGCATACTATAGGATGCACTGGATGCAAAAGAAAGTACTAGGAAGAGGTAAAAGCAATTACATGCCCAAGAGTGCTTTTATTGTTTCCATTCCCCCAGTTTTCTAGGCTTCTCTGTCCTTCTTCAGCGTGAATGATATAGTGCATCTGCCATTTGCTTCTTTTGTATTATCAGGCACCATACACTCTCTTGGGAAATTTAAGATGACCCAGTCCCTAGAGTTTCAGAGCATCGTTATTCTTATATGAAATTAAAGTCGACAGAGAGAGAGGGCATACATTTTCTACATTATTTCTAGAGTATTGGATTCTGAGTATTGGATTCATGTCCTTTCCCCCCACCCTAACTTTATATGTGACTTTGGGTAAGTCAGAAAACTCACAATGATTCAGTGTTTACATATGTTAAGTGAAGATCACAGAAGTGCTTTGAGGAATAAGTAGAGTTGGAGTGTTGTTATAGCCATAACTAGCAAATTGCCTCTCATGAATGATGCGGGGGAGGGAGCGGGCAGGGATGGAGCACGGCCACCCAGCACCCCATGGTGCCCCCCCCCCGCATCCCCCCCATCCCC